TTTTCAAAAAAGTAAAAGTGAGGGACGAGAGGAATACATTCAAATTTGCAAGATTCAGTTAATGTCACCTTATAATAAAATAGAGCAAGTACTCTTGGTTGTGTTTCTTGTCTGGACTACCTCACAAGGCTAACATTAGTTGATATAATCTTCTCTTGATATAATCTTCTCTTGATTCTTTTCCCAATGATGTTAATTAAGGTTGCTTTGAAAAAGGTGTCTTTAATCCACTATTTTATCACAAATGCAATCTTACAGAAAAATTATTGTTTTATCTCTTACCAAACTGGGCAGAAGAACATTGTGGAGAAAATACACCCAGGTTACCTCTTTTGTGAGCATAAGCCAAATATTACTGATTTATAGATATCAGAGTTTCCAAAGACATCAGATTATTGCACATTATTAATTACATGTTTATCTGAGTCACTAGGGCAGGGCAGCAAAGATCTGACACAATTGTTTGTGGGTTTACTTTTTTTCTCACACACTCAATTAAAACGTATCTACTGATCTTCAATCTATTCATATACTCCTTTCATATGATTCATCTCACATGCATACTCATCTATAGGTAATCATTGTAAAACTTTGGGGGGAAAAACCCCCACCAAAGTAATTCCTTGTTTGTACTTTGCCTTGTTCTGTATGCTGACCTACTGTATATATTACCAGAAAATTATGCTCTACTGGTTAATAAAATCGATCCCAAAATTATAGGAATAAGCAGAGTGTAAAAGTTAGAAGCACAGGATATGACTTGAATTTTTGGAGCTTTATAGAGGTTCCTAAAATCAAAGAGTTTAAATTTCACTAGTACTGATTGTGCTTCTTCCCTTTATATTTTCAAAACCACCTGATGCTATTCAAAGATACTTGAATACATCCCAGATTTTATTTTAAGAATAAAGAGGACACAGAAGGATATAATCTTTTCCAGCCCAGAGTTCTTACAATGTGTTGAAACTCCCAGAATTCAAAGTCACCATAACCAATAGCCTTCCTTTGGAATTCTGGGAGCTGCAATATGGTTCTTCACATGTCTCCTGCATAACAAGTATATAAAAATAGCCCGCTGTTATACAAACACTAAACACTGAAATATGGCAATATTATTTTCTGGAACAACTAGATGCTACAAAATAATGGAAGGGTCCCTTCTTTTCACAAGTCTATAAATAACTATCAGAGACTCCTTTATAGTTCCACTCCTTCTAGGGGCTAATCTGGTGAACTGGTAAATATGTCAGACAAGAAGGCTTCCTAGTAATATGAACATGGAACATAGAACAATAGAGTTGGAAGGGACCTTGGAGATTTTCTAGTCCAGTCCCCTGCTTGAGTAGGAGAACCTATATCTTTCAAACAAATGATTGTCCAGAGTCTTTTTGTTTGACCCCCTCATCTTTGTAGCAGTCCTCAAATATTGGAACAGTGCTATCCTGTCCCCCCAGTCCTTCTTTTCATTAGACTAGACATACCCAATTCCTGTAACTGTTCTTAGTACTTAGGATTCCATTTTTAGAAAAGTCAGAAAGTTCCCGCCTTAATGTGTTTTTGATAGGCAATTAAAATTGTATGCTCAAACCTTTAATACTCTCTGCTCAAACCTTTAACCTTTAGTACACTCTGGCTTGTTTATTTATTTAGACATGACCTTATATGATAATAAAAATTATTTGTGTATTAAATCAAAATACAATTAAAGGATAATAAAAGCAGCACAATAAGCTCAAGATAAAAATCAGCAATAAAGTTAGTAGAAGTGCAGTAAATTACAGGACAACAAACTGCACAGACTTCTAAAAGTATCATGTTGAAATTTAGAATGATCCACTGATTGTAGGAAGAATCAGGTCAAGTAACTGCTTGGTTTTTGTTTTTCTAAACACAACACATAGACTATGGAACTACATGTTCTGCATCACCCAGAGTTTGTGAGAAAGTTGGCCATATAAATTTTATGAATAAATATGTGGTAATGGTCATCAGTTTTAAAAGGAAACTAGATAAAAGCATGAAGGAGGAAGTTATCTATGGTTGGTAGCACTGAAAACTGATGATGTTCAAGAAGATTTTAAAGACGTGGTTGCTCTCCTAAGCCTTGAAATAGGTTCATAATGATGCCTCTGTTGGACAGGGATCTGTCTGTCTGTCTGTCTGTCTCTCTCTCTCTCTCTCTCTCTTCAGGCCACATATGAATTGTATTGTTTTAAGAGTATTTCTTAAAAATATTTTTGTGGTATTGTTTTTTAAATTGTAAACTGCCTGGAGTTGTTAGGAGTTAGGTGATCACCAAGCTGCTGAAGCAAACAAAATCCAAGGCAGCACAGCCTAAACTCCAGCTGCTAAGAACCAGTCCGTTAGAGACAAACTACCTCCCACAGCTCATGTTCCTCTGGTTAGCATGCGTCAAAGAAAGCTATCCTAATGGGTGGTTGTATCAGCCAACTTAGTTAAGAGTCAGCCCCACCTGTTTTGATTGCAGCCTTATGCATAAGGAATGGCAAATACACATGAAATACTACCTAGCACGAGGCAAAGTTATTTTAATTTAGGGCATAATCTTTTATCAGCCTAAGATGATAAAAACCCCACCAAGCCAAAGACAATAATAGATCCAGGAGTTATTCCCAAGGTAACTGGGTAACCTGGTTCCTCAGGAGAGCAACTCTCCTCTCCAGGACACCACAGCATTTTCAGTATCTCCATTTTGCATTGACTAAGCCTCTTTCAGAAGCTCATATCCCATGCTTAACACTGCTGAAGAACGTCTGAACTACAGGTAGTCCTCAACTTACAGCCATTTGTTTAGTGGCCAAAGTTACAATAGCACTGAAAAAAGTTGACTTATGACTGGTTTTCAGGCCAACGACCATTGCAATATCCCCATGGTCACGTGATCAAAATTCGGGTACTTGGCAACTAGCATGTACTTATGAACAGTTGCACTGGGGTCGTGTGATCACCATTTGTAACCTTCCCAGCTGACGTCCAACAAGCAAAGTCAATGGGGGAAGCTGGACTCATTTAGCAACCATGTGATTCACTTAACAATCATGTGATTGCTTCACTGTGGCAAAAAGGTGGTAAAATGGGGTGCAGCTTACTTAACAAGTTAGGAACTTAGGAACAGAAATTTTGGGCTCAATTATGGTCACAATTTGAAAACTACCTGTATATGGGTGGTGGTTGACCCTTTTTACCTTAGTTTTAATACTACACTTCTCCATGATAAATGTTAAGTAACATTATTTTAACATAAACAGGACAACCCCTTGATAAACAAAGAATTTATACATTAAAGGAAGCAACAGAGAAATTTGAACAACATTCCTCACATTTTAAAAATATATACAGCTGCAGGCATTTGCTATCTTTCAGAAAGAAGCACCCACACCCACATCCTCCTATCCGTACCAATGCAGGAGGTCTCAGGCAAATAAAGTGTTTCCTACAAAAGAGTCTCCTACATTTGCACAGCTGTGGCCTCCACAGGCTTGTGCTCTTTTTGCCAGAGTGATGGAAACAGCATCATGCCACAAACTCTATGACCTTCACATTTGCATGCATTTAAGTAAGAATTGCATTATAATAGATGTCATATCAGTTCTGCTCTCTCAAAGCACAGGATGTGGGTTCAAAAACAGCTTCTACAAGAAGGATAGAATAAAAGTCAATGTAAATTCAGTGTTTTGTAATAAGTCATTCTTGGCCACCAAGGTGCATCCAGAGGTTAGCCAAATAAGTAGCAATTACTTTACTACTAGTTGTCCCCTTCCAAAGCTGGAAGTCAAGGAGGCAGAATCATCCATCAACATAGATGGCTTTGGCCATCTGAGCCACGTGAACCTATGACTACCTAAATTACCGGTTACCTATTGCACCTGCTGGAACCAGTTTTACAGCTTTAACTCATATAGCTTTTGACTTCCTCTGCATCTTCTTCAGGTTGGAGAGCTTTAGTAAAAGGGGGGCAGGAAAAGCTGGGCATATCTAGAGGACTGATTACAGTTACAAATTGTTCATTCATTCCTAGCTGGTCTTGAGATCCATCCAATATCCTGTTGATGAAAAAATCTTCACCAGGGTCCAGTCCAAGCCGGGAATAAACAAAATGGAGACTGCTTTAAAAAGAAGGTTGTAGTTTATTGAAGAGGAGAGCCAGACAGAAAGATGGTTCTGGAAGAACAGAACACATGTAGCAGGGAGTGGTGGTTTTTTTATACCTTCTGGGGCTCGAGGTTATTTCCTGTTCGAGGCTTTGTATTTCCTGTGTCATGTACTTTGATCTGAGTACGCCCTTTTGGTACTGGTGGGTTAATCCTATTATGTCTCCTGTCCTTAAAATTTTGGGGGGGTATGTAGATTTTAGGTGTCTTAGTCTTCCTAATAGCTTCCTGGCTTCAACCTTCCTGAATGGATTATTACATCTGCATTTCTAAAAGCTGCCCTCTGCCTAGTTTCTGCTTGGGGGAAAAGGGTTGGGGCTGGTTTCTGTCTTTTTTAAAGATCTTCTCCATTATTCCTTTGGGGAAATATATTCTGCCTTTTTAATATTTCCCAAAATATTTCCTTCTCCCCACAATCCAGTATCAATCTTTTACAGTGTCAACTTCCTTCCTCCATTCTGATATAAAGAATCGACGAATATAAAGCTTTTACAATGTGAACTTCCTTCATGCCTTCTGACATTTTGCTGAAGTAGAAGGTTGGGTAATAAACGCTCCTTCCGATCTCGCTCGCCTCTGGAAGCCCTCAGACACTGATCAACGATTACAATCGTCATTTGTCATCTCATGCTGCGGGGATAATTTTTCAACTTCCCCATCTAAGTGTCAGCAGTGGATTTCCTGGCAAACCCAGGTCTGAGACGGGCAACAATTCGACATAAACCAAGGTCTGGAGACGGCGGGCGGGGTAGTGTGTGTGTGCGTCTGAAGCATGCGCTAGCCTTTTGCCTCCGCCGCCCGGGAACCAAGCAGTTTAGGTAAGGCAATTGCGCAACTAGCCAGAGTGAAGGGAGCCCAGCTTGGCCTCCCCACTGAGAGGGGGCGGAGTTGCGGTGGGGATACCCGACGCCTTTCCGAGCATCTGTAGCGACGCCGCAACCCTCCTCCAGCGAGCCCTCCGCACCGTCCCTTCCAAAGCCAACCAACCACTTGGAGAGACCCGCTGCTCACCAGTATCGCCAACCGAAGCTGCCCTCCGGCTAAGCGCAAGGCGAGTGCGACAGCTGACGTAGCCCTTCTCCATTGGCCCCGGCCGGCAGCACATGCTCAAGACAGCTATATAAAGACACCCCGGCCTGCACCCTGGTTCTCCGGCTTCGCTTGGTGCCTTTCTGTCAGCTTCCTTGCCTCGGATCTTCTCTTTCCCAGCGGAGCGACTCTTAGCATCTCCGATTCGGCGCAATGGCTAACATAGAACCTTTCTTAGGCAAATGGAGCCTGATCTCCAGTGAAGGTTTTGAGGATTATATGAAGGAATTAGGTAAGAGGGAAGGGAATTGGGAGTGCTGTCAAAAAAAAAAAAAAAAAAAAAAGAATGTAAGGGAACTATGACAAGACTAGAAAAATTAATTCTCCACTACAGATCTTGGATTCCTCTCGGGCAAAATATTTAAAAAAGGATGTGGGTGGAATGACTGAAAAATAGGGCAATTAATAATAATAATAGCAACATGGATAAATGCTTCTGTAGGGATGTCAGTGGTCATATTTTCTTGGTACATACTGTATATGTTCCATTCTTGTATTCTTGCATATATCTTTTATTCAGAGATGCAGGTGGCAGTTTCCCAGTGCATGTGTGGATCTGCTAAGTACAATTGACCAAAAATTGTTTAAAACTGTGTAATTTACCCTACCCTGTGCCCGTCATCTTTTTTTTTTAAGAGAAAGGGTGGCTTTGTTTAAAATGGCTGCTTTGGATTAAAATGAAATATTGATTGTAGCTCAAAAACTGTCTGGGTTTATGTGTAGTATGCCTCTCTCTCTCTCTCTCTCTCTCTCTGTGTGTGTTTGTGTGTAGTTGTCTGTTTTGTATGTATGCAGTACTTGGCATTCTGTTCAGTTGCTGTGCAAAATGTGCTTTTGAGCATGCAGCCCTATTTTTCTAAAACATACATATGGTTTTGTCATCTAGGTTGGAGTGGTGGATGATGATGATGAAGAGTGATATTTTTCCCCTTCTGGAAGCCTTTAAATGTTTGGAAATATGGAATTCTGAGCTTTGTGTCTCTTTTTTCAGCTCTTAAAATGCTCTCTGTCCAAAGTCTGCGAAGGCGTTCTCAAACAGCTTTTATAACAAGCACACAAATAGACTTTGTTTCAATGGAGCTGATGAGCAAACTAAGATTGCAGATGGGCTGCATGTGAAAAGTGTGTAAGAGAAAAAGAAGGAAGATGGGACTGAATGAGTTGAGCATGTGGGGATGGCTTTAAATGAATACAGTTGCTCTTTTCTTGAACTTTTCTCAGGGAAGAAGAACATCCTTGTGATTATTTTATTAGAATTTTCTCTTCCCCATCCTGTCCTTGTGGATCCATTTCACTGAAATATAGAGTTCAGTGATGATTGTTTAATACTTTTGGTTCCTGTAGCCAAAATATTGCACAGTGAGCTGAGTTCTGGAGCCCATTTAAATTAAAATATACTACATTTTCATTGGTCTGCACACCATATATAAAAAAATAGTTCCTCAACTAGGAACGCCATGCTACATGCAATACAAAAAGTCTATTCCTAACCAATATTCCTGTTTTAAGACTAGACATGGGAAAATCCAAAACTCAGTTGGAAAATATAAGCCAATTGAAATGTAGCAATTTTGTGGCCTGCAAATCTGTTGAACCCAGACTCCTGGAATGACACAAACTTCATGTTTATGGGAGTCAAAATAATTACTCTGTATTGATTTTTCTCTGCCTTACCAGAAGTTGCCATAATAGATCATAGTGAAAAGAAACATACTGACATATTGTAGAATGATTTTGTTCCAATCCTACTGCAGACTTGTGAATATGCTTTTTTCCACACAAGCATTTTAATTTTGGATACAACTCATTTTAGCATAGGGTGAGTTTTACAGAGTTTTGCAAGGGCGATGTGTAATTAAAATTTAATGAGAAGGGACAGGAAGCTCATTGATGGGAAAACTCCCTCTTATGCAAGATAATTAAAAAGATAATTAATCTTGTGTGAGAGTGTCTATATAATGACTGTGCTTGGCTGAACCTATATAAAAGTACATTTTCTCTCCTTTTGGCAGGTGTGGGTATGGCGATGAGAAAGATGGGAAATATGGCCAAGCCAGATGTTATCATCACCAGGAATGGTGATACTTACACAGTCAAAACTGAAAGCACTTTCAAGACCACAGAATTCAACTTCAAGTTAGGTGAAAAATTTGATGAAAACACAATAGATGGTCGAAAAACTCAGGTAAATGACTGTAACCCAGGAACACACCAAGTATATGATATGCTAAGCTCCTTAACTATTTGACTCAATGACTCTTGAAGTCATATAATGTCATTACCTCCATAAAAATATAGACTCTGTTCTTTTAACTCAAACATCTCAGCAGTAGCAGTGCCAAATTAGATCCTTGACTTGCAAACTAGCCCATTACTCCTAGGATATACCCAAATTACCCCCAGTTTAAGAACTCTGTGCTAACCTGTTTTGATCTGAATACTGCTGGAGAACTTTGTAACATGAAGAAACTAGTTTAAGTTCTTAAGCTTGGTCTGCATGCTTAAGAATGCCCACTGAGTACCAGCAGAACCATTTACACCATAAACAACATTGATTGCCAGTTCTCTGCCAGCAGAAAAGTGCATCTATGCTCAAGTAAAATTTTTCATGCATCAGTTGATGTTGTTTGGTCTCAGTTCTTAGATCAAGACTCATTTGTCCCAGTTGTTTTAAGAAATCTACCTTCTTCCAAAATCTAGTTTGGCAGTTTTCTGCTCCTGAAAGACCATTAAATGTGGCTCTAGGGCTAGGCCACAAAATAATGCCATCATTGCCATAAAAAGTTAAATCTAACAAATATGGAAAAATAAGGAGTTTGGCACTGGAATAAAGAACTTCTCTAGACAGTGTATTCAGTGGTCAGGCACCACCACATCGTAAAAGGTGCTTTTCTGTTCAGTAGTGATACATCTAGAGGAGTTTTGTCACTCTTCTTGTGTATACAATCACACAGATACGTGTATCCCTTTCTTGTCATTTTGTGCTCATTTTAATTGTTATAGCCAACTTCTGGTGGCTCTGTTGAACTAACCCTTTGAGCTGAATCTAGGCCAGAGTCAACAGCCATTGTATTCGCAAAGTACTGGGATAAAACGTATTACTCTCAAATTACATACGTCTGCAAAGGCAATTGTGAGAAATAAATAAAAATCTTAGAAATAAAGCTCAAACTTGAGAATGAGTAATAGAGAAGAGTTTTGTAGACTGAAGTTTACAAAGATTATTTTTACCTGGATCCACTGTATAAACCAGGAGGGCTGATCAGCTTGGGGGTAATTTCTATGTGGTGTTTATATTTCTGTGTAAATGTCTCTAAGCTTTTTTTTATATAGTGTCAGGCATGTCGATAGCCACTAAGTTGGGGATGTCTGCTCTAATATATATTTTTCTGTCAGTTTTTTAGACACATAGAGGAAAAAATGAGTGAGCAGGAAACTAGTTACAATAATCAGTGTCATTTGCCTGGGAATAAGTAGAAAAGAGTAATGTATTGAAAACATTTCAATCCATTTGGAAATCAGGCTTTGATCTTACACAGAATCGGGTGGATAGTGATGCTGAGTATATTAACTGAATTTCAATTTCAAGCAATATAATACTTCTACATCATGCATCAATTTCTAGTATTGTAGGTTTATTTTTTATTAGTATTCTGTAGTTTTCTGAAATTTGCTATCTTTCAAGTGTTGGGTAAATCATCCTTATGATCTGTGGTCTAAATGCAGATGAGTTTGCATGGTGTAGTGGTTAAACAGGTCCAGATATGGGTTGTGGCTGTTAACATATATGTTCAGTCTGGAGTTCCAACAAAGAAAGAAAAGCTATAAAAAGAAAAACAGAAATGTGTTATTTCTAGTTTAATGGATACTTCTTTTGTTTAGAAAGAAGAGGACCATCATATCAAAACTATAAATAATCACCAATGGCAGCAAAAAGTTGTAGCTTGTATTTTCTTTCCAGCTAGTGGTTGCCTGGATTTTTGCAATCTAGATATGGTAGCCCTAAAGAAATTATCATCACCATCTGATTCAAAGTGCAAAGAAGCAGAAGAAACAGTAGATCATATATTCATCTTGTGCCAGAAGATTACACAAACTGATTGTAAACAAAATAGAACAGTTGTGAAAGTGATTCACTGGAACATCTGTAAAAGTTATCTTGTGCCAGTAATATGAAATTAATGGGAAGATATAGCTGGAAAATTAGTTGAAAATGAGCAAATTAAAATATTGTGAGATCTCCAAATTGATAAAGTCTTGGCTCATAAAACATCAGATTTAACTGTAGTTAAAAAGAAAGAAGTGGGCATGTGGCGATCGAAAGAATAGTAGAATACAAGGCAAAGAATGGGAGAAAATTGCAAAGTATTAAGATCTAAAAATCAAAGTTCAAAGATTATGGCATAAACCAACTGTGGTGGTCCCTGTGATGGTCAGCATATTGAGTACCATACCAAAAATGTCTTGGATGGCACTTAGAAAATATGCACATTGACAAAATATAATTCTGCCAAAAATTAAAGGTCACAGTGCTTGGATCTGCACACATACATTGTGACATCCTAGATTCTTGGGAAGAACTTGATTTGTGAAGATCAACACCACTAAAAAACTAGGCCTGTGATTTCACATTTTTGTCTCTATAATAATATTAATAATCAAAGAACTTCTGTTATCCCAGATTTCTGGGAAAGACTTGATAGTGTATAAAAATGCCAAATCCAGTCTAAAATCTGACTGTGTGACCAACAACAACAACAACAACAATTATAATAATAATAATAATAATAGACATTAAGCACACTAAAGTAAAAAAAAGATTAGAAGAGAATACATGGAAGTGAAGAAGATCTTAAAATCCAAGCTTAGTGGAGGAAAAGCCATCAAGCAAATTACCGCAACTGGAATAGTGGACTGGACTCAAGCAGAACTGAAAGCCCTGGATAGGAAGACCAGAAAAAATCAGGACAATTAATCGTGCTCTTCATCCACATAGCGATGTTGACAAACTTACCATGGAGCATAGGTGGGCATGTAATGTGCAAGTACTACAGACAGCTGAAGAAAAAAAAAGGGCATTGAAAGAATATTTGAAGAGTGGTGAAGAAGATGTACTGAAACTAGTGCACCATGAAGACTTACTGAATACTTCAGATAGCAAACTAGCCTAGAAAAAAACACCAGATGAAGAATAGAAAAAAGACACAGCAAGGCAAAATATCATATGTCCATCTCACACACACACATGCACACACACACACACCCTAGCTGCACGCTGTGTACTTCACCAGAAATCCCCAACAAGCAAAGTCAATGGGGAAGCTAGCAGGACACTATTTTTTACAAAAGAATTATTGGAGTAGGAACCACAGTTTCACTAAAGCCTGTAACCATCATGGAACTTCAGAAACAGCAACCACAGCAGAACAAAATAGAGTAGCATTATTGTAAGAGTTCCAGATTAGCCACAAAAAACACAGATTTACCCATTGTTTTAAACAGCAGCAACAACAAAACAAACATGTTTTTCTGCTGAAAAAATGGAAATAAATGTTCTGCAGTGGGAACTGTAGAACATTGAGAGTAGATACATCATAATGATCAGAGATGACTTTACTATGAATCAAAGGAACACAATTTGGGATGCTGTTAATAATAGGAATGGGGACAACATAGTCAAGTCCATCATGGGACAATGAACTGAGACATTCTCACAGTGGAACCCCAAGTGAAGTGATCAAACCCTTCTAGTATTTAATAGCTTAGTTTTGAGTAGTTGGTGTTCTGTGCTTCCTTTTAATACTCTGCCTTTGGCTCAAAATGTTTTGGCTGTTCTTCAAGCTACTGGTAAAGATTGCTGCAGGTTTTACTGTTAAAAAATGTACAGCTGCATAGAGCCTCTACAGTATGTTTAGTTTTTCCACTGATGTTTTTAAACTGAATTTGTGTTTCCGATAATATACTGATGGCCAAGGGTGTTGCTGTTCTCATGGAGAATTTGTGAAAAATGTTTTGTCTTTCTGCCCTTGCCTTCAGGGGGGAAGAACTTGGTCAGTCAGTAGGGTGTGGAATTCTTGGATCAAGTTATGCTTAAGAATTAGATTGGATGCAGGCTTGGAGAGAAGCCACAATACTAAAAACCTAACAGAAAACAGGAGATAGCAGATATATTTAAAGTGGTATGAGAGTATTGCCTTCTTTGATCTGATAAAAGGAACTTTCCACATAGTTACAAATTTGGCACCTGCTGAAATTTTCCTCAGTGTGTAGTCAAATATTGCATACGGTTAGATGAACCATGTAGCTGTTATAAAGCTGAAATAAATTGTCACTCAGGAAAAACACTTTGTATGAGCAGGAAGGGCAGTATTTAGGCAAGCCTTTCCCTGGATAGTAATCATTTAAACAAATAGATATAAAATGCATAGTTGCGTAGTCCTTTTATTAGAATGAAGCCAAATAACACTGGGCACACGTTCAGTTCCCCAGACTTCTTCATCAGTCAGAATGTTATAAAAAGCAGTGGATGGAGAAGAAGCAAAAAATCTTAAAAGTTCTTGAAAGATGTTGCAGTCATAAAGTGTCTGAATAGTTTGCCTCTGATTTTGATTGTGTATCACACTGCAGAACCAGAAGGGGGAGGGCCTTCTCTGTGGGAGCTCCCACCCTCTGGAATGAGCTGCCCCCAGAGATCAGGGTGATCCCTGATCTCCCTTCCTTCCGCCGCGCCCTCAAGACGTGGCTGTTCCAGCTAGCGGGACTGGCCTAGGATAATTTTTAAGAGGGGTTTTTAGAGGGGTTTTTAATCATATTTTAATCAGACAAATTTAAATATTTCATTTTAATTAATTTTAACTTTGTGATTGTTATTGGTGTTTTTAATTGATTGTCAGCCACCCTGAGTCCGCAAGGAGAAGGGCGGGATATAAATTCGAATAATAAATAAATAAATAAATAAATAAAGCCTAAAAACCATAGTTTCATTTCCTTTAGCCTCAAGACAAATTGAAAATCAACACTTGAAAGAAGGAGCACAATACCAAAATTCTGTCTTCCTTTACAGACCCTCATCACTTTAGATGATAACAATGCATTGATCCAGGTCCAGCAGTGGGATGGCAAAGAAACCACAATAACAAGGAAGATAGAAGATGGGAAACTGATAGTTGTAAGTAGAATTTTCTCTTTTATGTTAAATTTGTACACTATAAATGAAATGTAACTTACCTCAAATATCATAAATACCCACCTACCTTATCCTGCTTCAAAACAATCTGTTTATAAAAAGAGAATGAATGTACCTTTTTATTTTCCAGGAATGTGAATTGAACGGTGTCAAATGTACTCGTGTTTATCGAAAAGTATGAAGAACTTGATGTCTATGTTGGAGAGTGGCAGATCATTCTCGAAAGAGGACTAGTCCATATTTTTTTCTTTCTTTTTCTTTCTAAACTAGATATTTTTAAAAAAAAAACCATCATGTGCAACAGTGTTGTATGCAATTTAAAGTCTTTGACGACAATGATTAAATTTTAAAATGTCAAAAGAGATATTGTAACTGTGTTATTAGTTGTGAAATATTTCCCTTGCCCTTTTAAGAAAGTTTAGGAAATTGAAATTAGATAAATCAAATGGTAGGAAAAGTGTTAAGATATATTCACAAAAGTATGCTGGGCACAAATATAATGTGAACATGTATTTTTCCCTGAAAGCAGACCTCATTAGTTAAGATTATTACACTGCACTAAGTAATTACATAACTTGTTTCTATTTGTAATATGATACTGAAACTTGCCATTGTGGGTTATTCAACAAACATGATTAAATGAGGCTATGATTTAGAATAATGTGTGCATCTGTTTATTCTATTTAAAAAGACAACACCAAAATCTCTTCCATGTATGCAATTTAGCTGAAGAACAGTTTGAACTGCTGGAAACTGGAAATTCAATCAGCCATCATTGGAAGAGCAGTTAAACACAGACCATACAAGAAGTAAAAAAAAAAAATAGACGTGGCTATGATTGGCATACTGTAGAGTAGTCTTTTTCCAAACCAGTTTCAAAGTTGCAAATCTACCATATTGGAATTACACCAGATCAGAGGACTACTACAACAAAGCAAACACTGTGCCTACAGCATTTGCTTTGATCCCAGGGCTGTCTTTCTTTGAACACAGAGCCAATTTATTTATAAATCTGCTGCATTTCAAGAGGAAACACACCAAGATTGGTTCCATAGCGAATGGAAGGTTTGCAGAGCTTGGGAAAGGTAGTCAGTTTCCAATGAGGGCAATTCTTGCCTTATACAACTACACAAGACCATTGAAATCTCTGGATCAAATAGCTGAAAGTCTGCTGTCAGTTATTGTAGTCTTTCTTCAGTTCATTTTCACACAACTCTTCCAAGCAGCTGTGGGAAGAAAGCATTTTTTGGGAGGGGGAGGGATTATCCAGCTTTGTTCTTGATTCTGATGCAAAAACTTGTAGGATGTTTTCTTGTTTCCAAATGTGCTACAGCTTTAAATGCTAGAACCCCAGGCGGTTCCCATGAAGAAATGACTCCAGTAAAGCCACAAAACTTAATTTGATAGTTTAACCATGCTCATGGAATCTTACAGTTTCTAAATCTGCTCAGAATAGATGGCTGAAACAAGATTGCTTAGGTTAAACATACATCAGTGGATTCCAACTCTTTGATTTATTAAAGTCCTATCTTTGGAATAAAAAATATACTGTATTACTCTTGAAACCTGGAGGGATTTAAGTACTCTCCCCAGATGTTTTCTTTGTAATTTTTTGATCTAATTTTTTCCCAGGGCAATAAACATTTTTAACCCTTATTTTAGAACTGAGCACCATTGATCATGTTATCTTCCCCTGTTTTCAAATTAATTGAGAATTTGTACATTCCAATGTCTCATTTTCTTTACTCAGAGCAATTTGCAGCACAAGATCTACTGATATGGTTTATAATGGTTTTAGATGAGAAAAGCTTAACCAGCAATCTTATTCTATTCATCTTCTAGTAAAATAAATTCACCTGAAATTAATAGGGCTTACTTCTAAATAGTTATACCTCCATCCAGTACAAAACTCATGCAGCACGCAATGTTTGCTAGATCATATTTAGTAAAGATCTTAAGATGTTCAGATATGACTCCCTAGCGATGCTTAGGAACATGTAGTTATGAACATAGCATCTATCTGAAACTCTTTAAAATAGCTGCATATTTTCCCAAAATCGCATAGATGTCTATGTATATGCCAAAGCACCTTTTGGGAAGTGAATCCAATCATTTTGAACAAAGGGTCATTAATATCATTCAGATTGAAATGCCATATCTTAGCTAATGTAAAAACTATTAAAAACTGGTATTTAGGTGGCAGTTAGCATATAGGAAAAATTCTCTATCTCAGTTTAAAGTGAATTGGGATTTGATATTTTCTGTGATACTCAGAAATCAGAATAACCCTCCCCCAATATATTTTTTTCCAGAAATGTCAGTTCTATTTTTCATTTGAGAAAGAAACAGATTATTTTCCATGTTAGACAGTTCTGAGTACTTCACATTGAATCAGCATAAATAGCAATAGCACATAGAACAATCTGTAATTCAAACAATTATAGTTAAATAGGTCAAAGCAAGCTGTGTTCATTACACGTAGAAGGTTGGCATTATTTTTCAGCAACCAATGACTTTGAATTGAAGATATTGCCTATTTGGCACTAGTCCACTTCTGCTTAAGTAACCCTTGAAGTATTTTTATTCCTCTTTAAAAGAATTAACAATTACCAATTAATGCACTGATCACTGCAATAAATGTAATATCTTTAATTATGAGAACAATGTTTGGTCCGAACAAAATGAATTATTCCATTGCCCTGTAAATTTTGTTCCAATGCTGTTCTCTTTATTTTAATCAAGCTTTTGTATGCTATGTGATTAAATCAGGATATAGAAGGGTGTGACTGTTTAGTTCCTGCATCTACAAGAATAGCTCCCAAAAATCAAATGTATTTTGAATTACAAATTTCCGCTGGCCTACCACATCATATGCAATATTTAGAATGCATCCAAATATAAATTTAGCCAAGTCTCATTTGTTTGCTTGTTTCTTTTAAAAAAAAAATTATTTGGGGACAAGTATTCTACAGGTCTTTTCCCACTTGCAGATGACCACACCAAGGATTTGCTCCAGCAAACACTTTTTGCCATCCCACTGCCCCCATGCCATTGCCTTCATCTTGTCCCCAATCCATTCTTGAGACAAGTTACCATTTTCTTTATTTGTTCTGGTATTAAAGTGGCATTTCCCCCCAAAAGGAGTGCAAAAACTTCAGTTGTTTTACTATGGGTATCATTTTATGTGCTTCATTTGAAGTTTTGTCAATTGTGAACCTGTTGTCTCTTACTTCCCTGCACACATCCTGCTTTGGTGAGTGGGAGAGTCCAGTTCTTCAAACAGATCTCATCTCAGAAATCTGGATCAATTAGAATAGCAGATGACCAGAAGTGCTTGACAAAGAATTTCATGGGTAAATAGAAGATCTCTCCCCCCCTCTCTCCCTCTCCCTCTCCCTCTCCCTCTCCCTCTCTCCCTCTCTCCCTCTCTCCCTCTCTCCCTCTCTCCCTCTCTCCCTCCCTCCCTCCCTCCCTCCCTCCCTCCCTCTCTCTCTCTCTCTCTCTCTCTCTCTCTCTCTCTCTTCTTCCTCCCTCCCTTCCTCTTGGATGATTTGTAGTGCAATCCTCTGCCCATTACTGCACATGCCAGCTGCTGTGTGGGCTGTTTTTGAAGATGGCTTTGCTGCTTTTTCAGAAGAGTATAAAAAGACCTCAGCTCTCTTTTGCAAGAGCAATACACCATTTTTCAGAAGTAACTCAGAGAAGAATTGACAAGTGGTGGGGTTACACTGAGAAGCAATTCCATGCCATGAACTTTTGGGTTGTTTGTGCTACCAGATATTCAAGGTGACCTAGGTATCTGACAGGCTTGGAGTCCTGTCAGTTAAAGAGTCTCCTCTGCCCCTGTTGAGACTGGAAATGGGGCAGGGAAACCCTGACTGATGTCTAGCCATCTTGCAAAACCATCACAAAACACACTAGAGATGTTACTGGAGACATTTATAAAGGGAAGGGGTAATCTTTGTTATACAGGAAATGACAAGAAGGAAGGGACCTTGGAGGTCTTCTAGTCCACCCCCAGCTCAAGCAGACAACCGTATAGCATTCTGGGAAAATGGCTGTCCAATATCTTCTTGAAAATCTCTAGTGATGGAACAGTCACAACTTCTGGAGGCAAGTCATTCCACTGGTTAATTGTTCTCCCTGCTAGGACATTTCTCTTTAGTTTTGGTTGCTTCTCTCTTTAACAATCTTCCTTGTATTACCTCTAGTCCTGCCCTCAGGTACTTTGGAGAATAAATCGACTCCTTCTCTGTGACAGCCCCTCAAGCACTGAAAACTGCTATCATATAACCTCCTCATCCTTCTGTTCATTAGACTAGATATACTTAGTTTCCTTAACCATTTATTGTATGATTTAGCCTCCAGATCCCTTATCATTGTTGTTCTTTTCTGCACTTCTGAGTCTCAGTATATATATATTTTTGTATTGTGAGGACCAGAATTGGATGCAGTATTCCAAGTGTGGTCACAGAAAGTGAACACTTTCTGTGGCTAACAGATGGGGATTGGGAAAGCAATAGAATTAGAATAAATTCATGTCTGTTTAGATAACTCATAGATAACTGATAGCTGTTTAGCTGAACCCTATGTCTTGTTTCAGCACATTGATCAATATCTATCTATCCCCTGCTTCTATGAATGAAATACTGTTTCTTCCAGAACTTTATTTTGTGAAAATTGTGAGGATAATCTTTCATGGTTAGAAAACCTGAAAAAAGAGCCTATGATGTTTATTTAGAAAAATACATTGCAAGAATCTAAACAATCTTTACTCAATGTTAAATCCTCTTAAACAATATATTCAGATATATAGAAAGAAGGAATGGGAAGATTTTCTATCTTCCAGATTGTAGCAAATCAGATATACACAGAGACTCAATATTTAGAACAGATTCCTCATATAAAAATTAATTCTTCTGGTATGACAATAAGCTAATGTGGCAGAGCAAATGTTTATTCTCAGCTAATGAATTGATCTGCTAATTTTACACACAGGACATATGTTAGAATATAATGTAGAGTGCCAAAAACTTAAAATAATGACAGTGCTTCCTTTAAGATTTATTTATATTGACAAGAATTGCAGTTCTTGCACTTTTTAAACAGTTACTTTAGGATAGCCCTCTTCCTATCACATTCTAGGTAGATTGGACTATCAATACAAACCATGGTACTTTTTTACATCAACTATCTTTATTCCAGACAGATCTGTAGCCTACAGACAATTGTAGACAGTTCCTTCTGCTGCATTGTAGGAGATCTTTTGAGGAATAGAGACTGATAGAGAGGATGAGGGGGAAAAGCTTTGTAATCAACAGACAAAATAATAAATACTGGTATAACAATGAAACTGGTCACAATTGGAGGAAGAAACAAAAAAAATGAGATTTTGTGAAACATAAGATCAACAAAGCAGAGTTAAATATGTACATGTCCTGGTGAATTAATCTTCTGCTGCCTTTTTATCCTAGCTTGCCATGAGTTCAGAATAGTTATATTTTTGCAGATGTTTCATTACTAAACGAGTTAACATCATCAGTGCTAGTAAACAAGCCATCAAAACCGCTCCCACCAACTCTGACAGAGCAAGCCACTAGTATATAAAATAAGAGCAAACCCCACTCCCTATTGGAATTGATGATGTTACCTAATTAG